TGTACATCGTCAGTAGTAGAAGACTAGCCTGAAGGCATAGCCAAATAATAACAAACTGGGCTTAAGATGATTTTTTGGGAATGAGTTTATGCGTCTGTTTATTTTTGTTGCGTTGTTTTAGCTTAAGAGCTACGCAGTAGTATATATGTATATCTGGGTTCCATTTGACTAGTGGGGAAGTGAAGGAGCTATCGTGTGTTCACGTGATTAACACCTCCATGCAGGTATTGTGGCCAGCTCCTCAACGAACCGTTCCAGATGGTTCAAAGCTATCGTCGATTTAGGTGTTAATAGCATCCTCGCAAAACACGGGACTGGAGTAGTCGCTAAAAGCTAACGCCATTTTCAGACCTTCCGTTAGTACCACGATGAAGCTGACCATCGAGTGCCGTAAAACTAACATCCCGAATTCATTCATGGTGGTGAAGAAAACAGGAAGATTGGGAGAAAATGAGGCGCCCTGGCATTATTAAAGACTGTGAGGTTGTTGTTGCGCCCAAGTCTTTATTTGTGTGAGCACTGACACCGCCAAGATAGCGATTAGCATAATCAAGTAGTAAGGCCTCGGAAAAAAAGTTGTCTTTAATCCTGAGTGCGTTGACACAACTAGAGTACGGTGTCTACGTGCGTCCCTTGATGATCACCACGCGATTGTAGTACTGCGAACGGCCATAACCCAACAGTGAGTAGTCCGTATACGCACAATGCATCACCATGTCATGATGGTAATTTATGGGAACTCAAATGGAGGTGACAGCCCTCAGCACCAGCGTGCCTGTAGGGATCAGGGGTTATCCCTAATCCACACATGAGCGGGGAAGTTAATGACCAAGAGCATGAACAGAATCGCGGAGATTGAAGGACCCGTGCAGAGAACACGATGACCACTTAAACAATTAACATACCGTTTCAAAGAGCACAATTTTTACGAGTCTTAGATCATATTTTAGCACTGCTGTGCTTGCAGAGAACGTGTTGATGGCGCCATGTCCTGAACCAGTTTCAGCCACCCTAGCCACCATTCCTTGCTGTCAGCACAGAAGCGGCACCTGTTTTGTATCTACAACTTTGGCATCAGGAGTCGATAAAGCTCGAGGCAAAGGCCTCGTTGTCAACCCCAAGGGGGGCATTCCAAAAGCTACGAGAGACTGTACATTCAGGTGAGCACTCAACCAATCCTGGCGTTGTTTTCTCTGAGACATTGTTATCTCTCAGGGCCTTTATGGCTATTGGAGCATCCAAGGTACCTACTCATCCAATTAGTTTACCGATCCACTCAAGATGTGTGACCTTCAAGGCATATCTGTAAAACCGTCATATTTACCAACTCAAACACCAGTGGTAACACCTGCCTCTCCGACTCACAGGAATGAATTTCAAAAGCGCTCACATCTTTGCCGCCCTTTTTTCAGCCTTTCTTCTCTTCCTTGCCATAGGCTATAATGGTTGGAATTGCAATGGCAGCGTATTCAGTGGAAACTGTGGGCAATTGGAGTACATGCGAACTGTCGGTGGACTTCTGCTTACCGCCGGTCTCCTCAGTTGCATAGTTGCTATCCTCATTATCCTCGACCTTATTCACTGTGGCAGCGGGCTTGATATTGCAGCCGCTGCTATAGTCACCATATCCACCATCTTTTCAGCAGCGGGAGTCTTCTTCTACTTCAACAATACCCACGTCTGGTCTCCGTTCCTGGCGACAATGGCAATGACCATCTCCTTTGTCCTCACCGCGCTCCTCATCATCGATGCCGTAATGGGAAACGCCAAGTCTAGTTGAAGTTCATCTTGATTAGTAACTAGTTATCTAATTCTACTGTCTCTGTGTTAACGCATTCTGGTTCATTATACGCCTGATCTTGTCTTCTCGTTTCTCATTAGAATTTCTTTTCTTTTTTTCGATAGCATCTTCCAGTCATTGGCGGGTAGATTTGAGAAAGGGTTGAAATGCCTAGCCTACGATAATGCCATCGTAGTCGATTGCCCATCTTTGGGTGTGTCGGTTTTAGAAAGAGGAAAAAAGTCTGTTAGAATCCGCCATGAGGCTCAGGCAAGCCCTTACAGGTCCTTAGACAGGTTCACTGACAGGGTCTAAGTCGAAGCTAATAACTAAGGGCAGGCCTGACATTGTCATTAACGGCAAGTAGCTTTTGCCCTGTCACAACAGACAACGAGACGGTAAATGAAGTTGTGGATCAGATTCGGCGTTAGTGATGGAGTTTGTTTTAATGGATTATACCCTTGAAGAAGTTGTCTGGATGGGCAGAAGAGGCTAAGCTGAGAAAAACACACCCAATGAAGCTCTTATATCAATAGACAGTGAGCTAAAAAGGCTAAAATGCTCGACACTGGGTAGTATTCACCTCTCTACCGTTGAAGTTTGTCGAGTCATTTGAACCCTCTTAGCGCGTTACCATAAGTCTCTCAATGCGGGGGATGAAGATGTTAATTTAGCAGGTGACAGTGTGGATGTGAGGAATGCAGTTCAGACATGTGACTTGATGGTTCAAACTGTGAGGTGATAAGAAAAAGAAACAAAAATTTAACAGAAAAAGTATTTTCGTTAACGAATTCCCTGCCGTGTGCCTACTCCGAGGCTTCAACACTTCCCGCACACTTGAAACTCTATTAGTTGATTGAAGAACCAATGCCAGAGGTGAGACATAATGTATCAATTTCCATATTTTTTTGCAAAAATGCGACACCTTACACCGTAGCATGACTATAAGAGGGCACTTGTGTGATATTTTTCGTACGATAGGGTCACAGCAGCGATATGGTGGAGGAGATAGACTTGGAAGCCCCCAGTACGATCAAGTATCACTGGAACTCGAGGCGATTCTAGCTTTGTCTGTTTTACAGATTAAGTGCAACTAGATTCCAAGACTAAAAAGGGTAACAAGACTTCACACTGCCCCATATTCGTGATAGATCTCGAGGTGATTAGCATCACCCTCTGAAGATCAGACAATCACCTAGTCACATGCAGTGACCCCACCAGAACCTCAGCAGAAGGTGCTGCTCATCCAATTGTTCACGAGTCCAATCCTCGTTATTCCACGCAATTCCCAAAATTT